GAAAAAAGACTTTCTTTTAGCAATAGAGACCATTATCAAAAAAGACTTTCTTGGTAGTCTTTTTTTATCTTAAGGCCGAAATATGACAGCTCAATTTTTTTATTATTATTATTTTTTAATAAATTATAATAACCGTGTTTATATTTTGAATCTTGTTTTATTTTACTCCTTAATTTTTTAATTGTAACACATTAGATCGTAAATTTTGAATTTTATTCAAAAAAAAGACAATTAAAGTATTATTTATTTATATCTTTTGATTTTTAAATCTAACTCTAAAAATATTAAATAAAAAAGATAATATATGTTGGTTGGTTTTTGTTTTCAAAAATAGATATACATGTAATAATACAAAAACATATTTCTACTACTGCTCTGTTCATGGTTTTGGTGGTTTAATTTGTTTTTATATTTTAAGAACCACATATTGTAATACTTTATGTGGATGAGGCATGCTGTAATTGTAATATGTGGATAAAGCATGCAGTGACTGTAATATTCTAAAGTTTCAAACTTTCTTTCTTTGAATGAGACATACAGTGATTGTAATACTTTTTTAAGTCATTAACTGTAATATTTTTTTTTAATTTTTTTTGAGAAAGTGCATAAGTTGAATTATATTGAAATTTTATATTATTTTAAACCACTAAACCGATTCGCATCCATCCGCCAATCTGCTCAATCCACATCCACCGGATTGGCAAAAGGATGCGAATTGTATTTTTTTCAATTTATCAATCTGGTAGACGAATGACGAATTGGAGATTCCCTAACCGCAACCGAACCGCGAGCACCCTGAGTAGGAGCTGACTTCCATGCAAAACAAAATGTAATTTTGTTATAATGATAAGAATATATATACATACAATTTTTAGGAATAATTACCAAAAAAAAAAAAAAACCTCTAACCTTTCAACAAAATAAATCCTGATTTTTTAATTTTATTAATTTAAATTTTAATATTTTGAATTATTTTGAATTTAAATTATTTATCTAATTTTGCTAAGTAAAACTAAAAGAAAATGTGTATTTTAGCTATTAAATTTAATATAATTGTACATAAAATATTTAAAATACCTTCTTCATTGAATTTGGTCCCGAAAACTCAATTGATTGAACTGAAGCCTAAAAATTAATTGGGATGAAACCTAAAATACCCCCACAAATAAATAAATAAATGAAGCTTGTTATACAGTGGGCTAGAATAGAATAGCTTTGTGGGTTAAGTCATCTCCAGCCAAAGTGGACTTTTCTATTAATGATGTAATCTTTAATTCGAAGCAGGTCCAGTTCGGTATTAGGAATGAGAGTTGACTCTGCAGCAGTTATCTGTGCTGTTCTGGCTTTACTGGTGTTGATAAATGTAGTTGAATCTACTGGTGTAGTTTATTTAGTTTAGTCCTTTGGGTGTTCCTGCTGGAGTGTGTTTTTGCCAAGTTAGTTTGGGGCTCTGTTTGTGCTAGTTTTGTATAGGAAGAAGAGGGCTGCAAGTCTTGGTGGTTGATTTGGTGGACTGCTATGGTGGTTCTCATAGTGCTAGTTGATGAGGAGTGTTCTCTGCTAGTTAGGTCTTCGCAAAGGAATGAGGTATTTGCTGTTTCTGTGCTTTTGTTGGCTGCAAGTACTCTGCCTACCCATATGAGTTTTTTGGTTCATTAGTCCATAACTGGTATGATGGTGCTGGTCTAAAGAAGCCTAACCTGTCAATCGAAGAAGCTGAGGTGATATTCTTCTTCTTCTTCTCTTCGTCTTCCTCCCTTTCGTCTCTGCTCTTCTTCTCCTCCCTTTCGTCTCTGCTTTTCTGACTCTCTCTCGCTCTCGTCTTTGCTGATCAGTGATCACTCTCTCTCTGTCCTTTTTTTTTTTATTTTCTCTTCCCTCTTATTACCATGTCTGTCTCTCCCCCTTTATTCTTTTTTTTCTTTTTTATGTCTTTCTTTTGTAAATAAATACTAATATAAATAAATACAAATAATATTTTTATTTTCTAATTTTATATATAATAAATAAAATAAAAAAATAAAATTAGTATATATTTTTTAATTTTACATATAATATATAAAAAAAATTATATATATTGAACGTGTCCCCAGCGTGTCGTGTCCCTTATTTTTTGAAAATTTGCATTTTTGCGTGTCTGTGTTGTGTCCGTGTCGTGTCGTGTCGTGTGTCCGTGCTTCATAGGCTGAGATCAAAATACTTTTTTAGATTAAAACAAATACAAGAGCACCACCACCACTTAACAAAATACAAAACTTTTAAATTATGTGATGTAAACTATTAAACTTCTAATGTTATAATAGCACATGTAGCAAAAGATTAATTCTTCTTGATGATGCAGATTTGTATAAATACCAATATTATAATAGCAATTGAGCAAAAGATAAGACATATATTTAATTAATTGAATAGGACCTACCTGTGCTGTGTTGCTTCTCTGAATTCTTGAGAAATTCGTTAGTACTCTGTTGTGTGCTTCTCTCAAATTTTTGGGAAAGTTGAAGTTAGAGTTAAGGTTAGGAATTAGATAGAGAGAGAAAATGGGCCATTTTAATTTTGAATGGGCCCTTTTAATTTTTTAATGGGTCAATTTATTTTAAGTTAGTTTGGGCCTTCTTTAATTTTTTTTGGATTTAAAACATACCTAATATATTACACTAAACTATAATAGGAGGGGGCCCCTTTTTTGGGTCTATTTTGAGGAGCCCTAAGCCATGGCCTGGTGGGCCTATGCCCAGGGCCGGCCCTGGTTACATGGACTCATTTAGAAATTGTGAAGTATCGGTGTTGGACACTTGGTCAGGGTATGGAATATCTGTCAGTCATGTCTGGTTGGGCATGCACCCTACAGACTTTACTATGAAACTATGCATAAGATACCTATTCTAGGCTTAAATAGCTCTAAGTTAGTTTGTTAAGTTATTTTACCACAAATAAATGATAGAAGTATTGAAAGAATATGAAATCTAGCCTTGTCCTAGTGTCAATGAGCATGAGAATAAATCCACTTAGACATATATCGACATCCAACACCTGTACCCAAGTCCATGTAACACAGTTTTCTCTATTATATGTAGCAGACTTGTACTAATGTTTGATAATAAATGCTTATGGAGTTGCATTTTGATTGCCACAGTATTTATCAACCACTAAGAATAACACGTGGTCAAAGCGAGGTTAAATAACCGTTTGCACGGACCATGAAATGTACTTTGTGTGAAGTGTTACTTTATGGTGGGAAATAGGAATCAGTGACCAAAAATAAGTGTAAAACTCCCAATGTTTTTTTTTTCTAATGTTCTTTTTGGTCACTTTATCTTCCTGTCGTAGTTTTGTAGCTGCTCAGCATGATTAGAAAGGACAGTTATTACGAACTTCTTCTTCTTCTTCTTTTTTGAATGTCTGTTTACTTTGGACAGTCATTGTAGAATCAATGTTCTAATTGCATCACAATTCCTTCTGTTTTCTATACCTGAAAAAGATTATCTACATGATGGTATTAAAGTTTTTTGCTATAATTGTAACAGTCATCTAGGACACTTGGGTTTCCAGTCCTCTATGGTGATGCATCACGGCCTGCAGTTCTTCAATCTGCTGGTATTTCTTCTCCGAAAGCTGTCATGGTCATGTACACAGGGAGGAAGAAGACAATTGAGGCTGTTCAAAGGCTTCGGCTAGCTTTCCCTGCGGTATCCTTCCCTTAACCCCCCCCCCCCCCCCCCCCCAAAAAAAAAAAAAAGAAAAGAAAAGAAAAAAGAATAATAATAAATGATAAATAATGTGACGGAAGTATCATATCCCGATGTTGAGGTCACATAATGAACATTTGTGACAAATAATTTTAATTGAAAACATTTACCATCCCTTTTTCTACCTCCAACCTGTTTTAACTGGTGAAAACTTGTGGGCCATACTGATGTGGTCAAATGCATTGATGCGGATCATTAGTTAAGGATCAAGGAGGCTGTTTAATGTTTTATCATTTACACATTGATGCTTTTTGTAATAGGCCTTTGGTCTTTTTGTTAAGTGTTAGTCAAGTTAATTTTGATTTATTCATCTCCCAGTCAATTGTACTTGGCAGATCCCTATATATGCCAGAGCTCAAGACCTTTCACATCTCTTAGATCTGAAGAAAGCAGGTGCAACAGATGCTATTCTTGAAGATGCAGAGGTATCATAAATTAATTTCCTTGTTAGATCTCACAATTAGAAAATTTTGCTTTATTGTTGCCTCGGCAATCTGACTGTATCCATTTGATTTCTGCAGACAAGTTTACAGCTTGGCTCTAAGCTTTTAAAAGGGTTCGGTGTCATGTCTGATGATGTGACCTTTCTTCGTGAGCTTGTTCAAGGCTCCATGGAGATACAAGCTCAAGAAGAACTCAACAAAACTGGTGATCAAGAAATTGAAGTTATGAATCCATTCCAGGTACTAATAAATGCATGCATATATACATGTCTTTTGTGTGTGTTTATAGTTACTAGCTAAGTTGCACTGGCACAGATATGATGACATAGTGATTTTATTACAATACATGATCCGCCGGGGACTTGTTAAAAGATTATATTTTTATAAATTTACATGTCAAACATATGAATATTTTATTCAAAGGTAATGAAAAAAATAATATGACACTATTTAAAAATAAAAAGCCATATATTCTATAACTCAAGTATCAATATATCATTCACATAACAAATGTATTCTAAAGAACACAAAATAATTATAGAACATTGAAATACATGTATTCATCTTTTAATTGTTTCAAAACATATTTAGAGTGCACAAGTCGCTTTCTGAAGAATGCAGAACATTGTTACTGTGAAGAGATTTAGCGCGTGGGGTGTTTGGATGTCGGAGTGTCCGCAAAGTGTCCAATATTATGAATTTAAAATTTTAATTAAGACACATTAAGAAAAGTGTTGGAAACACTTTTAGGACTGTTTGCATAGTGTTGGTGTCCAACATGGGTGTCCTCCACAACACGCTTCTCCACAGAAGTGGTTGCGCTTCTTTGGTTACCTATCATGTACGGCTTTTTTATGGCATCAAGCATGTGCTGTCCCTTCTAATTTTTCAAGGGTCGCACCCTTGGAATATTTATATTAAGTTCTTTACTTGTTTCCTGTTCTTTATATCATACATACTGTGAAAGTCTCCAAAATTTTTGCATTGTATACATGAATTTCTGTAATGTATTGTGGAGGTTGTTATTAATTCCCAAATGTACATGGAATATTGAATTTGTCATAATTTTTTTTTTCACCAATCTGACATTTAAGCATATGTACCCCATATGTAACAGTGAAATTTAATTTTGGTATTGCTGTAGTTTATGTGACATGTTTTGCTTTCTTAACATGCCACCTAAAGAAATCGACCGTTTACTTAATGAAATAGTGATTTTGCTGGGTAAGGTAAGAGTTGCAGACTTGGTTGGGACCAGAATACCCCCACAATCAGCTGAAGACAAATCATTTAGGGTGAACCAGACACAGATAAATCACGTCATGAGGACGCAGGGGAAAGTAGATCAACCAGAGGATGGTGGTGAGCTCCATCAATCCGAGGATGTGGATGGCAAAGGCGTTGTATACTGTGAATTGTATTCGGAGAACAGTTTTTCAATCAGCAGTGAAGACGCAGAGGAGGGAGAGAAAATCAAGGTAGATCCATCGACACCTTGTGTAACAACCAGTGAGGGACCTTGAATAGGATCATTTATGCTTTTATTATTTATTTTGATAGGCTTAGGCTTTGGTAGTGTTGATCTAAAGCCTAGTGCTTTTAAGTTTGAACCATAGCCCTCTTGTCTTTTGAACATTGTCAGTTTTGTTGCTGAGAGCCTGAGACAGTATGGCAGAGGATTAGGTTTACTTTCATACTAGGTTCAAGTTTTGTTATTTTATGTTTAAAGAAACGCAAGTGTATATAATTGAATTTGATGACAGTAATTATTCAATCAAATGTGTTATTTTTCTTTTTCATCGGTCTTTAATATGCGGTTACGGTTCTAATTTGCTGAGTAATTTACTGAGAATTTACTGAGTAATTTACTGGAAATTTGCTAAGAATTTATTGGGAATTTACTAAGCAAGAGAACTTACTGAATAATTTACTAATAATTTACTAAGTATTTATTGTGAATTTACACAGTAATTTAATGGAAATTTACTGAGTAATTTAATGAGAATTTACTAGCAATTTACTCAATAATTTAATGAGAATTTACTTGGAATTTGCTCAGTAATTTACTGAGAATTTATTGGGTAATTTAATTAGAATTTGTTAGGAATTTACTAAGAATTGATTGAGTAATTTACTGATAATTTACTAGGAATTTATTGAATAATTTACTTAGAATTTACTTGGAATTTACTGAGTAATTTGATGAGAATTTACTGGGAATTTACTGAGTAATTTACGGAGAATTTACGTGGAATTTACAGAGTAATTTATTGATAATTAACTTTGAATTTACTGATTAATTTAGTGAGAATTTACTGTTAATTTAATGAGTAATTTACTATGAATTTACTGAGAATTTACTGACTAATTTAATGAGAATTTACTTGAAATTCATTGACAATTTACTAGGAATTTACTGAGTAATTTACTGAGAATTTTCTTGTAATTTACAGAGTAATTTAATGAGAATTTACCGGGAATTTACTGGGAATTTACTCAGTAATTTACTGGAAATTTGCTGAGTAATTTACTAAGAATTTAGTTTGAATTTACTGGTAATTTACTGGGAATTTGCCAAGAATTTACTGAGTAATTTAATTGGAATTTGCTGAGAATTTATTGGGAATTTACTGAGTAGTTTATTGAGAATTTAGTTGAAATTTATAAAGTAATTTAATGAGAATTTACTCGGAATTTAGTAGCAATTCACTGAGTAATTTACTGAGAATTTGTTAGGAATTTACTCCGTAATTTAATGACAATTTACTAGAAATTTGCAAAGTAATTTACTGAAAGTTGACTGAGTAATTTATTGAGAATTTAGAGGAAATTTACTGAGTAATTTACTAGGAATTTGCTGATAATTTACTGAGTAATTTACTGGTAATTTATTGAGTATTTTATTGAGAATTTACTACAAATTTACTAAGAATTTACTGGAAATTTACTAAGTAATTGACTGAAAATTTACTTAGAATTTACTGGAAATTTAATAAGTAATTTACTCGGTAATTTACTGAGAATTTAATGGTAATTTACTGAGTAATTTAATTAGAATTTACTGTGATTTTATGGAGTAATTTGGAGAGAATTTAGTCGGAATTTACTCAGTAATTTAATAGGAATTTACTCTGCAATTTTATGAGAATTTACTTAGAATTTACTGGGAATGTACTGAGAATTTATTGGGAATTTACAGAGTAATTTAATGGGAATTTACTGTGTAATTTACGGGGAATTTTCTAGGAATTTACTGAGTAATTTATTGAGAATTTATTTGGAATTTAATGAGAATTTATTAGGAATTTACTGAGAATTTAAAGGGAATTTAGTAAGTAATTTATTGAGAATTTACTAGGAATTTACTGAACAATTTTCTGAGAATTACTTGGAATTTTCTTAGTATTTACTTTGAATTTACTAAGTAATTTGCTGGGAATTTACTCGGTAATTTACTGAGAATTTACTGAAAATTTTCTTGAAATTTACTCAGTAATTTACAGAGAATTCATCGGGAATTTATTGCATAATTTAATGAGAATTTACTGGAAATTTTGCGAAAATTTACAAGGAATTTACAGGGAATTTTTTGAGTAATTTAGGCCTCGTTTGGCAAGAGGCTATTTTAGCCAATTAGCCAAAAAGTTACTAAATTAGCCAAAAAGCCAACAACCCATACCAAAAGGAATTTTCTTAGTATTTACTTTGAATTTACTAAGTAATTTGCTGGGAATTTACTCGGTAATTTACTGAGAATTTACTGAAAATTTTCTTGAAATTTACTCAGTAATTTACAGAGAATTCACCGGGAATTTATTGCATAATTTAATGAGAATTTACTGGAAATTTTGCGAAAATTTACAAGGAATTTACAGGGAATTTTTTGAGTAATTTAATGAGAATTTGCTGGGAATTTACTCAGTAATTTACTAAGAATTTATTGGAAATTTACTGAGTAATTTACTTAGAATTTACTGGGAATTTACTTTGTAATTTACTTAGAATTTACTGAGTAATTTAATGAAAATTTACTGGGAATTGACTGAGTAATTTACTGAGAATTTATTTGAAATTTACTGAGTAATTTACTGAGAATTTAAAGGGAATTTACTAAGTAATTTACTGAGAATTTACTAGGAATTTTCTAGGAATTTACTGAACAATTTTCTGAGAATTACTTGGAATTTTCTTAGTATTTACTTCGAATTTAATGAGTAATTTACTGGGAATTTACTCGGTAATTTACTGAGAGTTTACTGAAATTTTTCTTGAACTTTACTCAGTAATTTATAGAGAATTCACCGGGAATTTATTGCATAATTTAATGAGAATTTACTGGGAATTTTGCGAAAATTTACTAGGAACTTTCTGAGAATTTTTTGAGTAATTTACTGAGAATTTACTGGGTAATTTACTGACAATTTACTCAGTAATTTATTGAAAATTTCCTGGGAATTTACTGCATAATTTACAGGTAATTTACTATGTAATTTACAGAGAATTTACTGAGTAATTTAATGAGAATTTTCATGAAATTTACTGAGTAATTCATTGAGAATTTAAAGGGAATTTATTGAGAATTTACTCAGTAATTTACTGTGAATTTATGGAGTAATTTCTTGAGAATTTAATAAGTAATTTACTGAGAATTTTTTGAGAATTTAAAGAAAATTTACATTGAATTTACTGGAAATTTACTAAGTAATTTACTGAGAATTTATAGAGAATTTACTCTGTAATTGACTAAGAATTAACTGAGAATTTACTAAGTAATTTACTGAGAATTTACTGGGACTTTACTGAGAATTTACTAGAAATTTTCTGAGTAATTTACTTTGAATTTACTGAGTATTTACTGGGAATTTACTGAATAATTTACTGAGAATTTACTGGGAATTTACTGAGTAATTTACAGAGAATTTAGTGGGAATTTATTCAGTGATTGTAACAACCCTCACTTTACTTTAGTCATGCTTGCATATATCCCATGATCTTGTCTTGATATGTTGCATTTGCAAAACCTTGATTTGTCTTGCATAAGTATTACTTGCATGCTTTGTTCCTTGTTTGGTGTGTGTTTAGCCTAGGTTAATCCAAGCCGAGGTCACCTTAAGCTTAGAACCATCTTGGAACCACTTTGGTTGACCTCCACCTTCACCAAGGCATGTTGGCCGAGATGTCATCATTTAGGCCGAGGTGTTCATCACCAAGGCCGAGATGTGTATTATCTTGGCTGAGATGTTACCTTGCGCCTAAGTGATCTTGTTCCTGGATTGGTGCGACCTAGACCGAGGTGTGGCACATCTAGGCCAAGTGTTGTCCTTCCTAGTTGAGATCATTATTCCTTACTTGCCGATGCCTTGTTTTTAGCCGAGATCATTACCTGCCGGAGTGCCTGTGCCATCTTGCTTGTTGAACGGACTTTGTCATGGTCTTGTCTTTTCACTCAGTCACCTTTTTTAGTAGAACCAACCAGCCGTTGCCACGTGTCCGAGCTGAGTGTTAAATCAGCCGGCAGAGAGAGAAATGTATCATTTGTTGTATGTCTTTGTTCTTGAGGAGAGAGAAGCTCTAGAAGGAGTTCTTAGAGAGGAAATAGATTTCCAAGCTTGCTCCTTAGAGTTCAAACCGTTTGATTCGTGTTTCGAGGTTAGAATCTTAATCTACTCTTGTTGTTCTTATTGTTTATCTAGCTGCATTGCATGATCGAGCAAGATTTGTAAGCCATGCATCGATTTAAAGTTTGGTTTTAGAAAGAGAAAGTGGCATTCATGTGTTCTTAAATAAAAGCCTTGTTTGATCCGAAAGCTTGCATCAAGATTCATGTTTTTGTGTTTGTTTTCATAAGATCTTCAAGTATGGGTATCCATGTAATAACCCTCACGCTATCCTAACCATACTCTTATGCATTCATGTGAGTCTGTCTTGTAAGCTTGCGTTTCAAGTCTTGTCCTTGTTCGTTTAAAGTGTTTCAGCATGTTTTGTACCTTGCTTGGTGTGAGTTTAGCCGAGGTCATCTTCAGCCTAGAATTACCTTGGAACCACTTTGTTTGACCTCCACCTCCGCCCTGACATATTAGCCAAGATGTCATTATCTAGGCCGAGGTGTTCATCACCAAGGCCGAGATGTGAATCATCTAGGCCGAGATGTTGCCTTTGCACCTAAGTGATCTTGTCCCGGAGAGGTATGACCTAGACCGAGGTGTGGCACATCTAGGCCAAGGTGTGGCACAGCTTAGTCAAGTGTTGTCCTTCCCGATGTCTTGCTTTTAGCCGAGATCATTGCCTACCGAAGTGCCCATGCCGTCTTGCTTGTTGAACACACTTGTCATGGTCTTGTCTTGTCACTCAGCCACCTTTCTGTAGCACCAACCAGCCGCTGCCACGTGCCTCTGTAGAGGGTTAAGTCAGCCAGCAGACTTAGAAATGTATCATTTTGCTGTATGCCTTTGTTTGTGAGGAGAGAGAAGCTCTAGAAGAAGAAGAAGTTTAGAGTGAGAGAGTGGATTTTCGAGCTTGATTCCTAGAGATCAAACCATTAGATTCGCGTATTGAGGTTAGATTCTTGATTTACCTTTGTCGTTCTTATTGATCATCTAGCGACATTGCATGATCGAACCCGTTCTGCATGTCATGCATCGATTTAAAGTTGGTTTTAGAAAGAGAAAATAGTGTTCATGTGTTCTTGAAGGAAAAGTCTTGTTTAATCCGAAAGTTTGCATAAAGATTCATGTTTTTGTGTTTGTTCTCACAAGATCCTTGAATATGGGTACCCAGGTCCATGTTTTTAAACTCATAG